ATGCCTTTTCTTTATAAAAAATAAATACAAATAAAATCAAATATTTGACTTCTGGGGAATGCATTTATATGATAAATTGGACATAAACAAGCAAAGAATGGAAAATCCAATATTCAGGATAGAGAAAGTGTGGCTTGGGAGGGAGTGGCAGGGAGTGCATGAGGGATGTTCATAAGAGTAGATGTTCTAACTGTTGTGTTGGGCTCAAGAGAGAGTTCATTGTATTATTTAAGAAAAGGAAAAGCTGAGAGGTGGATGAATGCCTTCTTAAACCCCTAAGGGCTACACTGGGTCACACACCACACCCAAATAATCCCTGGCATTTTAAGACCCTTGAATAGTCAGCCTGTCATCTCACCTGAGGCTATTGACACCCTGCCTCCTGAGGCTGCAGACCCCTTCACCATCCCCTTAGCAATCAAACATCTATATCTTCATTTGGCTGTTCCCTCTGCCTGGAATCCCATTTGCTGACCAATAAAATTCTTCCCATCCTTCAAGACCCATGTCAAGGGCTATCTCCAATGCCCAGGCCACTCCTCCCACCTAGGAGTTTCACCTCTGAGCTCCCATCACACCCTGTATGCCTTCCCCATGAACTGAATTGTGTCCACCCCGCCCCTCCCCCTCTCAAATTCATATATTGCAGCCCTAACTCTCAGTAACTCAGAATGTGACTTTATTTGAAGGTGTGACCTTTGAAGAGGTGAAAAAATTAAAATGAGACCATTAAGGTGACCCTAATCCAGACTGATTGGAGTCCTTATAAAAAGAGATTAGAACACACAGAGACATCAAGGTCATGGACACAGAGGAAAGACCTTGAAAAGACCAGTAAGAAGGTGGCCATCTGCAAGCCAAGGAAAGAGGCCTCAGAAGAAACCATACCTGCTGTACCTTGATTTTGGACTTGCAGAATATTTTCTCCAGAACTGTGAGAAAATAAATATCTGTGTCTAAGCTGCCCAACATGTGGTACTTTGTTACAGCGTCCTGATCTGATTAATAAACTCATGAGCAGTCTCTCTCATGAGAAATGGTCTAGGTGGGGCTCCCAGGCCTGGCCAACAAAAGCACTGCTGCCCTTGGCCACTGTGATTGGTTTGGAATGGACACACAATTGAAAGTCAAGCCCTGTTAGCTGATCCAGTCAGAGTGAACCTTCTGCAGTTGCTGCCAGAGAAAGGCTTTTCTCCTGAGGTGGCTTAAATTGGGTTTCAGTTTCTAGCATCCAAGAAGACCTGTCCATGGCCTTCTCCTCAGATCGATGAGTAAAATCTGGAACACTCAGAAGGGAAGACAGAGCCACAAAACACAGGCAGAGAGCTAAGGACTGGAGTAAAAGTTGAGGAGGTGGTGAAAGGTGAGTCTTCAGGTCTTAGCATGGGATAGAGAACCTATGCCAGGGGTTAGCTGCCCACTCCAATGTCAATATTCCTCTTCCTCCTCAGTCACAGATCCTTAGCTGGTCTCTCAGCTGCTCTGAATAAAAGACTATTTCCCAGCTTCCCTGCAGCTAGGTATGGTCATATGACTAAGTTCTAGCCAGTGAGGTGTAAGCAGAAGTGTGATGTGGAGCTTCTGGGAAGTTTCTTCAAAGGCAGGTGATGTGTCCTGATGTCTGGAGTGTGAACTTGATGGCCAGAGCTCCCAAAGTGAAAGACTACATTCCTGATCCCTCACCCCTATAAGGCAGGCCTTGTTGGCCGGTCATTCTCAGAAAGAAGCAACCCCATCAGGGTGAAAGCACTGATGAAGAGCCCAGAATGCCTAAATTTGAGACTTGTTTCTTGGTGTCCTTGAGCAGGATACCTGTTTATGTACGAGGAAACCAAGGCTCAGAGGGGAAATGACTTCTCAGGCTTGTAGAGGTGGGGGGTCCCAACTTGATCTCCTCTTTCTCTGTTCCCACTACTATCACCTTAGCAAGGTAGCTCCTTCCTAAGTAGCCTTTAAGTCATCAGTCTCCCTCCATCCTGGCAGCTCACTTCCAAAGCAGATCTCCACTGCTATCATTCAGTCTACAGCCACCATTATTCCTGCCTGGAAAACTACCAGGCTCCTGACTTGGCCTGACAGACATTGCAGTGTCCAGCTCCTGGCTCCTTTTCTGACCTATGAATCTTCTTCTTTCCTTTCTTTTGCTGATCTCCAACTATACCAGTCTCACTGTTCCTCCAGCCACCAAACATGTTTCTGCCTCAAGGCCTTTGCACGTACCATTTCTTTTGCCTGGTATCCTCTCTCCCCAGACATGCCTGTGGTTCACCTCTTTCTATGAATCTAGAGGTCTTCCCTTACCACACAGGTTGGAACAACAGCTTCCAGTTAAAGTGGGCATGCAATAAATATTTGGTGAATGCATGAGTGAATCAATGAATGACAAAATGAACGAATGAATTCCATACCCACACTTTAATAAATCTTCCAGAATTCCTATTAGGTTTAATCATATGATGTTGTTTTGTGGGCCAAAAATCATTAAATAGTGGCTATTTTATACAATGTTGAACTTACTTTGGTAGTCCCACCCATGCTCAAAATTCTCCAATTGCTCCCACGACCTAGAAATTCAAACTGCTCAGATTGACCACACGCCTCCTGGCTCTGGTTTCCATTCTCTTCCAGGCCAGGGGATTGTTACTCCATAGGTTTTCTTGGGCTCTTCTCTTTGCTTAAATGTCCTGAAGCCACCTCTGCCTACCCAAGCCATCCTCTTTAAGAATGCTCCTTGCCTCAGGCCTCTGCTCCTCCCCAGTGTATACTGGCCGTGCACATTGATAGTATTTCTCCACCTCAGCCTGCAATGAATCCTTCCATTCTACAACTCTGGCCGGCTGAGTGAGGGGGCATGATGCTGGACAGCAGGGGCTCCCTGCGCCATAGCCTTCCACTGCACCCCAGCAAGCACTATTACGATGCCAACAATGGGGTGGCTATTCCAAGACTGCAAGCTGTGCTGGAATCCAGCCAGTCTTGGGAGACTTTGCCACTCACTTTTGTTGACCTTGGGCAGGTCCCTTCTGAGCTTCAGTTTTCTCATCATTGAAATAATGCCAGAGCCCAGGTTTGGGTCTCAAAACCAAGGGCAGGGGTGTGGCCAAGAGAAGACATAAAAACCACAGGTGATGACAAGGGAAGGTTCACAAGATGGAGATTTCGGCAACTTAAATTGGAGTCCCAGTGTTGAGGCCACCTCCAGGTATGAGCTGGGACAGATCCTTTCTCTCTCTGGGCCTTGGTTCTCCATCTGAAAAGCAAGCCCTGACGTTGGAAAAAGGGGGAAGAAAGGCAGGTGGTGCAAGGCAAAATCCTGTACCAAGAAGATGCTGGAAAGGGTGTGCATGTGGAGAGGAGCCCTGCAGGAGGAGACAACCTTGCCCCCTCCCAACCTCACCCTGAACTTTGGATCCTGTTCTGTAGTCTTTCACGTGTGAGTACAAGGCAGGTACGGAAGCTGAAAAAACAAGTCCTGATGCAGGACCAAGACGATGCTATTCTCACTTTCAAGAAGAAGGGGGAAGAAAATATTCAGAGGTGAATGCTGCAAGAGAACCCCAACCCCCATGGAGCCAGCATTCCCAACGAGTGAGGAATAGATACAGAGAGTGCCAAGTGCTTGGCTGATAGAACGGAGGTTCATGGTTAGAGGGGACTTTAGACTGAGGAAGCTCTGGAGACCTGGATGCTGGGAGGAAGCCATGCGCACGGACGACAGGGGCTCTGGAGTATGGGGTATGGGAAAGGATCTGAGGCAGAGGAACTCGTGGTGCTGCAGCCCAACAGCAGGAACCAGTATGCTGTGTTTGGGAAACAAAAAGAGGCCAAGTGGGCAAGGGAGAAGGGGAAGATGGGAGCAGATGAAGGCAGAGGTCAGTAGTGCCAGATCAACAGTTGGGATTTCATTCTGATCCTGGGGTTATAAGCAGGGAAATGACATGCTCTGATTTCCATTTACAAAGGATGGCCCTGACTGCAGGAGAGTTTGCAAGAAAGCCCGGGTACAGTAGGGTAGTGGGGGCAGAGAGGCACCTGGAAGCCTATATATGCTAGCTGTGTGATTCAAGAAGGAGGAAGTGAAGACAAGGAGCAGTGTCTGGATTTTGGGTGGATCTTTGCAATAACCATTGCATTTGTTGATATTGGGGCTGAGGGAGAGAGAGAACTCAGGGGTGCCCTTTGAGCAGTCTAGCAGGTCACGTGAACCACTCCAGCCCAAAAAGACCTGAGGCTGACCTGGAAGTTTACAGCTCAGAGCAAGAGTTCCTGGCTCCCCAGTCCAGGTGCACACAAGCCAGACACACAACATGGTCTTCCTCACACCAATCAGGGCTTCTTGGTGACCAGCCCCCTTTCCACCAGGCTTTTATCATGATTGCTTTGAAAACCAAATGTGTGGCTCAACATTTTGTGCATATCTATGTGTGTGGATGTGTGTGTGGATGTCCAAGCAACACACAAGTCCCATAAAACAGGGGTTGCAAATTCAAACGCCCACAGGGGCCAGGCAAGTCATATAAGGGTAGGTATGAGGTGGACAATAGAAAGTGATGAGGACTGTGGACTGTGGCAGTGAATGGGATGCCTGAGCTCCATCTAACAAAAGTTGTGTTCTTAGCTCCAGGTCATTATAACTATGTGGGTACATGTATAAGCCAATTTTTCAAAAGAAGCCAGAAATTTATATTTTTAGGTGAAACAGCTAGTTTAAAATTTGGGGCTTCAATTTAAAGAAAACAACATAAATGCTGTGTATCGGCCAGTTAGCATTTTGGGCCACTGGTTTTCAACTTTGCCGTAACAGTTAGGGTGGTCTGGGTTCAAACCAGAAAGCTGACTCTCATCAGGAGATATGAATTCAAGTGTGGCATCTTCAGGTTCTCATACTGGGGAGCATTCCAGCATGGGGCAAGTGAGGGGGTCCCAGAAGGCTCCAGAGGATATTCTGGTCTCTCCAGAGCCTCTATGACCCTGTTTGCGGTGTCTGGGTGAGCACATACCCACTTTGAGCTCCTTTCCGAAGACGGTGCGCTCCCCCAGCGCGGAGCAGTTCCAGCGGCCATTGCGGAACTGAAACTGACACTCGTCGAGGCCCATTTGTGAGCCTTCTCCTATGACGATGATGGCGTCGGGCCGGCTCTGGCAGATCGCCCGCTGTCTGGGAGCCAGGCCTGGGATCTTGTTACAGATGATGCTCGCGCCCAGAGCTACCACCGAGGAGAAGCCACTGGAGCAGGAGACACAGAGAGACTGAGCATTAGGCCAGCAAAGCGGGGTTCAGCCTGCAGGCCCTCCCTGGGTATTCGGCCCTGGCCACCTCTCCCAGCAATTCCCAGCAGGAGTCTCCTATCTTTTTGAATACTGCACCCCAACCTTTGTTTACTCATTTGAGATTTCATATTGGTATTTGCTCAGTGTGTATGTACAATATTAGTGAGGCTTGATTTCCTTTTTAGAGACAAAAAAAGATGAGTATGTTACAAATATAAACATTGAGTGAACTAAGCAAGTTGCCTTTGTAGTTATAATAGGATTCGATTGAGATGAAGTTTAAAATCATGCAAAATGAAACCCAATATTGTTTAGGAATCATTTCTATGTGGTAAAATTGCAAAGGCAAGCAAAGGAAACTACAGTTTCATGTAGCAGCTGCCTCTGAAAGAGTGGCGAGTGCACAAATGTTCATTTAAAAAAAACAACTATTTGTACATGTTATATATACTCTATGGTATGTATGTATATGTTTTATTACAAAATAAAGAGAAATTGTGAAAAAAAAGTTCTAAGTATTTTTCTCCCTGCATGCCAATAGAGTATGTTTATCCCCCTATGGACACAACTGGCCTAGAAGATGCTCATGACTATTCTGGCGAGGTCATTCGTTGCACAGATACATATTGGACACCTATCAGTTGCTAGGCACTGTGCTAAGCACTTGCCCTCAAGCAACTGTGGAGGGAGACAAGGCACACATTACAAATTAATACAATAGGCCATCTCAGACAGTGATGCACGCTATGAAAAAAGTAAGCAAAGATGCTGTGATAGCAACTAGGAGTGGGTTTGAGAGAGATGTGAGAGGGGCCACTCTAGCTGGAGTGGTCAAGGAGGGCCTCTCTGAGGAAATGACAGTGAAGGAGATTGGCCAGGAGTCAGCAGTGGAAATGTCTGGGGAAGAGTATTCTGGCCAGATGGGACAGAAACTGGACAGTCCCGGGAGGAGCACAAGCTTGGGGTTGCCAAGGAACAGAAAGAGCACATAGAAGCTGATGCAGAACCAGAGCTTGGGAAGGACACTCTGGGGAACAGAGATGGCTCAGGGCTGGAATTTTCTCAGGTGTATTATTAGGAAGTACTGAAGGGCTGTCAGCACTGTACTGATAGGATCCCATCTCTTTAGCCCCATGGGAGAGGACTGTGGGGTGCCAAGGCAGAAACAGGGAAAACGGACAGACTAGAGGTGGTGGTGGCTTGGCTTTGATGGCAGTGATGGGGGAGCCTGCAGACAGAGATGACCAAACTTGCTGATGGACTGAATGACAGAGTGAAACTGAGGGAAGAGATAGGAAAGGTACAAAGGAAACACAGGCATTAGTGTGACTTGTGGATATCTGGCTTGAGGGTGGGGCCATTTCCTAATATCAAGATAACTCCTAACAGGCTCCCATGGTAACTCTGATAATTCAAGTAGCCCTTCCTTTTCACAAAGATGGCCCACTAATCTGGAGCTTCTGTTTGTATAATTCTTTAAACTTCATCAAGAGTACTTTGAAAGAGAAGACCTCACCCTAGATGTATCACTGTAGTTATAATAAGAGCTTCTACATATTGAGAGCCATGGCCAGCCACTGGGCTAAGTGCCTCACACTTTCTTTCCATCCTGGAGCTTAACTAAGGAAAGTCGTTCTGGAATTGGGATTTCTTAAAGTGAGGTTCCCCTGTATCAACAGCACCAGAGATGAAGTGATCCTACTCCTTTCCAAGCACATAACTGACCATTCCTGTCCTCTTTCTCTCTGCTCCTGCCTCACACAAGCCCTCTTCCTGCCTCAGGCCCTTTGTCCTTGCTGGTACTTCTTCCTGGAAGCTCTCTCACACTCTAAGCTTCACATGTTTGGCTTCTTGTCATCATTCATGTGACCTCAAGGGTCACCTCCCTGACCACCTGGCTAAGGGAACCTGCCTTTCCACTCCACCCCTCCTAACTTTCCATCACAATGTCTGTTTTGTTACTTAATACTCTTGGTTATTCATAGTCCTCTGAAATGTCTTAATGTGTGTTTTGTTTTTAATTTGTGTTCTCACTTGTTTATAGCTTTTTTCATTAGACTACAAACTCTTTGAGAGCAGGAAGGCTGTCTGATGGTTCACTAAACGGGTACTGAATAAATGGATTGTGGAGCTTCAAGAATGTCACTTAAGGTGAGCAACTACTCCCCAAATATGCATCGAATGCATCAGTGAACTTCTACAGCATCCCTACTATGTGCCAAGGCAGTATGGGGATGTCCTGTAACAAAAAGTAGCCTACGCGACCTTTTAAAACAGCCCTATTGGGTAGGACTCACCATACTATTTCACATATCTGAAAACTGACGCTCACAGAGATTGAGATGTGGAGACTGGCAAGTGATGGATTTGAAACAGGAGCCTGGCAAGAGCTATCGGTTATTCATCTCAGCCATTAAAAGAGTCTAACACAGAGCTAGAATGTTTGAAATGTTTGAAGCAGAGATGGCGTGGAAAGATTAAGTCAAGTGAAGGTTCTGGCCACAAGTTAGGAGGAACCCTTGAACACTTAATTGACCACTAGGAAATTCCTACACCAGCAAAGAGTGTAATGATATATTAGGGTTAAAAACTCATAGGAACAATAGTCTAGCAGCTAAGAGGTGAGGCCTAGGGTGACATCTAAGTACCCTTCACCTACTAGCTGTGTGACTTTGGACAAGTTACATGCCCTCTCTGTACTTCAGTTTTTCCCATCTCTAAAATGAGGGTATTGCTCATTAGTCCTCGCCTCATAGGATTGCTGTGAAAATTAAACGTGTTAAAACATGGAAATGCTAAGAAGGTGCTGTTGTTGAAGTTGTTATTATTGGATCACAAGAGGCTAGTGCTTGAGTCACTTGAACTATTCAAATAAAATAAGAACACCCCAGATGTCTTGACATCGATCCGGAGCAGGGAGGAACCTGTAACATTTAGAGAATTAGAAGGCCTCTTAGGGGCTACCCATCATGTCCATTTTACAGGTGGAACACCTGAGGCCCAGAGATCAGCAGGGTCTGGCCCTAAATCACCCTGCCACTCCTCCTAACCTGGACCTCTCCCTGCCCCACAGGGCAGCAGCTAGGCCACAGGCCAGCGTTCTCCCTAGCTCCCTCCCTCCAGAGCAGCAGGGTCCCCGCCGGGCCAGTGAGGTCTTGGCGCCCGCGGGAGGGCGGGAGGGCGGGGCAGCCAGCGGAGGTTATTTTCTGTTGTTTTCCCTCTCTCTTCCCATTCCCCGGTCCCACCTCCTAGTTTCTAATTAAAAAGGAGATAAAACCGCAAGTGGCCAGCGCCAATCAGCCCTACCGGCTTCCTGGATGCTGGGTGCGCGCGGGGCGGAGGGGGCGCGAGCCAAGGTGAAGATTAAAGCAATGAGAAAAAAGGAAAACCACCCAGACGCGGACGAATCAATAACACTTAAAACACACGGGCAAGCAGGCGGTGCGCGAGCCCCGCAGCCGCCTCTCCGCCCGCGATCGCCTCTCGGCCAGCGGTCTGGGCTGGTGGGCCGTCTCGTTCGCTCTGTGCGCACCTGCTTGCTGCTACTTCGGGTCAACTTGCGAAATCCCCATTCTAGAGACGTGGAGTGGGCAGAGGGGAGGAGTAGTGACAAAACACAAAGGATCTGCTACACACACCCTCTTGCCGCAGCCCCCACCCCCCAGCCTGCCTCCTCCCCAAGCAGAGCGGTGAGGAGGTTCTCTGCTGGGGGTGGGGCAGCAGGTTGTCCGCAACCTGCCAAGGTGGCCCATTAGCGCCAGAACCTCTACGAATCCCTGAAGCTCCTGCACCCCCACCCCTCCGTGCTTCACATGCATTATCTCCGAAGTACAAAGGGTGACTGGCCGTGCAAATGCAGCTCCAAGACGCATCCGGAGTGCCTCTCCCCGTCTCCCCATCTAGTCAGAGCACAGCCCCAGTGCCCACCTCCGTAGAAATGCTGTGGTGAAGTGGGGAGGGCTGCTTTGCCCGCGCGCCCGCGGACTCCAGCGCCCAGTCTTAGGGGGCGTGGTGTCCTGCCTTTCTCGGGAGATGGCTCTGCGAGCTTGTCTCCTTGGGTGTCTCCCGCAAGCTCTAGCCCTACCTTTGTGTGTGTTTGCTGAGGCCGGTAGGCGCCGTACCCTCAACCTAGGAAAGGGCTCTGGGAGTCTGAGAGTCCTTGGAAATGGGGTGGTGCCAGGGCTCTGAGCAGCAGTTTGCGTTTTTTCGCCAGCGAATGTCCCTCCCTCGGGGTACCTGTTCCCTGTTGCACTGACCGGCCTTGCCTGCCACCAGGGGACTGCCCTGTCTCTCCAGCATCGGTTGTGTCCGGGCCTCTGTGTACAGTCTCTCTGGGGGCTCTGGGGACTGAGCTCCCTGGGAGAGGCTGTGGTC